GTAATGGAAGGTAGTATTGAATGGACAAAATGGTGTAAAAAACTCAAATTGTATCTATAACAATCATATTCTAAAAATAAAATCTATAAACAATCAAACCAAAATCTATCTTTCTCTACTGTAAAAAGAAGCGATCTTCGATCTCCCTATACTGTAAAAAGAAAATCCAGAACATAGAGTATCACTTTAAAACAAAAGACAGGAAATTTCACTCACTAGTAATTTTCACAATTCTAAATTCGATGAAGCTTCCAATAGGGGGGAGGAATCAGCATTCAGCAATGGGTAGTTTTTTTTTTTTTTCCCCTCTCATTTTTATATGGATGGAAATGGAATATGTAGTTTAGTCAATTATGGGAACAAACATCAGAACAACAACCTCTCTGCAGACAATGATGAATGTCTTGCAATGAATCTGGGGCAAAAACTCGACAAGCTAGCTAGGGACACAAGAAAGAAATTAAAAGAGGTGGAAGAAGGGATCCCCCGCCGTTTCTGACACCGCGCGTCCCATGGAACATGAACCTCGTATTTATGTATGTACCTTCGACGGCTATATATGCACATTAATTCATGACTGAAATTGGAAACTTGTTAAAAAAAAATTGTTCGAGATTCAATGATTGGATTAAAAGAATTTCAAAGGGGGAAATTTTGTCTGCCCCTAGCTCTCTCGCCTTCATTCTCTGCATTTTGAAGAACAGATAATTTTTGCGACACGTGCAAGTGCCATTGCTTGATGGAAAGTAGGAACACTGGCAGATCTCTAATTTTATTTAATTAAAAAGATATTCAATTTAATTACTTAATGTTTTAACACTCGCACACTGCAATTAAAAATGTTGGGGATCGGTTAGAACTTAGAACCACACTGATCATGAGTTGTAGTAGTCCGTAATAGAGTTGTAGTCGTTACTCGTTGAAATTGAAATTGTAGCAGTATGCAGATTTGACTTGTAGCAGTACAATCGTATATATAGTTGACTAATTGTAGTTAGAGATGTCAATCAAACCCACGATCACGATTATCCGATTCTTCTGCGGCAATCAAATAGCTGACTAATTAGTTGGGGCAAGTATGTGTAAAATTCTCATAAAATTTGATGGGTATTAGGCGGGTGTACATGATTTTAACCTCTCTCATGCTCCATACCCATACTCAGATTCATACACGCCACACAAAAAGTATTTCTCCACATATATAAAATTTAGGAATCAAATTGTAACATGTGAATGATGGTGAGGGTAACTAAAAAACATATAGAAATGTAATTGAGTGGCCACCCAAACCAAAACCTAACTTCATTCCTTTAATTTCCCCTTCATTCTTTCACTTCCCCCCTTGCTAACAAGATTATGTTAGTTACTTATCGCTTAGTAAATGTATCAAAGTTAGAGATTATTGACATGGATAATATTGAACTCTATTTTATAGATTAATGATGTTTTAGGATAAGATGTTTTAAACCGTATTAAGAATGATTGCTATAACTAAAAGTCTACATGTAAAATTTTTGGTTTGATGTTGAATGTACGGGACACAGGTATTAGTTACATGCTTATACGCTAGCTATCCTTAACCGGCAGCAGATACAATGGTTCTGGTCGAAACTTTTGTCTCCTGAAAGCCGCGCCGACTTGAGCTGGTGCGCCTACAGGCGGCGGCCGGAGCACTCCAATTAATATTCATCCTTTGCGGTTAAGTGAGATGCATTTGTTGGCTTAATATAATATGTATTGTTCAGACTAATTCCCAATACATTAAATCCGTTGTTAATTGTATTGTTCAGAATCACATGGGGGAATTGGGAGAGAGGATTAATATAGACATGGTCGGGATCAAAATCATGGATTCAGATTCCCCTACCTGAATTACTACAAACCGACCGACGAGGTGTTTCTGTGTTCCTTCCAATTGTAAGCGTGGTCTACGGGTTCTTGTACGCATGCAGACACAACTGCAGAAAGTTCAGAGGTTGCGTGTTCAAACGGTAGCATGGATCATCTTTGTTCAATTTGTCTGTTCTATCTTTGCCTTGTTTTAGAATTGTTGGAATGTTCATTGTACGGGAGGGCTTTGGCTGATGATGATGATATGCTGTGGCTGCTGCGTGCTTCTCCTTTTCTTTTTTTTAGGTTTTCCTCAACCATGTCGGTCTCTCCAAAATGGTATTCCGTGGGTATAGTGCGGATACTTAAAATATCAAAACTGTGTCGAACTAGTTACTCTTTTTGTCAAGAATGACCAATCCGGAAGTAATTTCATTTGGTTCTCTTCCAATCAAATCAACTTGGATTCAATTGGATACATGCGGTGATGAGGTTATTTTGTTATTCCTAATGATGGCAAAAACAATTCGAATAAAAATAACAAAAGGAAGGACAACAAATCGTTCGTGTGATTTTTCTCGATATCGAAATCAGTTTACGCAAGAGTTTGCACTATTCAAGATACGTTTCTTATTTGATCATAGTCGTCTGTTACGGATTGTTGCCTTAGCCCCTCTACTATACATTCGAACAACAAAAGGGAAGAAGACCAACCCTAAACTGTCCGCCCAGTGCACGGACTTTTGAAGGGAAGCTTGTCAAATAGCGTCTAATTAAGGAAGCCTGCAGGAAATGGTCAAAGAAGGAAACTCTGTCTCGGCAAGCAATTTGGGAAAGGTCTCTCAATCAAGCAAGATCGGTTTGTCAATCAATCAAGATCAAATCAAATCCTCAAGATTGGGATGAACTAACGGCTAGGAAGATGGGTATAAGTTTAGAGGGATGGAGAAAAGATAGTTTCACCTTTTTCACTCGATTTTTCAAAAACAGAGTTAGGGAGAATGTCTGTTTTAGAAAGAAAAAGGAGAAAGTTGTAGGAGAGAGAGCTTGTAGAGGGTGTTGACAGTCAGGTTGAGATATCGGCGGGGAGCTAGTATCTCAAGTGCGACTATGATCAAGTGACAGGGAGTCACTGCGAGATTGGTGATGTATCATTGTAACTGAAACTCAAAATCATAGTGCAACGTCGAAGGTCTCGGATCAGAGATCCTTCGACCGTGGATTAGTCGGTGTTAGGTTCATTAATCGCCTAACACCGGATACCACGTAAAAATATCGTGTCCAAGTTTATGTGTTCTTAACTGTGTTTTATATTTTCCAGCTCTTATCAGTGTTCTTGATTTTGTGTGAGTGCGAACTTTAGGAAGAACAGGTTGTTGATCGATTGGGTCAAGGAAAGGAGGAAGATACTGAGTTCCCAAAACGCAATGTCTCACTCAAGTGATTTGGGCCGCGTTAGCATTGACAGCCTTATAGCAATCTAAGCCCAATCCGTTTCAAGACCAAGTGACAGATCCGTTGCCGTTTTGACAAACACGAAAACAGAAGTCACTTTCCCTTCCCATCGATTCGATTCTCTATTCTCTTCACCTTCTTTCACTTGATTTTGTCAAAGTCGAAATTAGGGTTTTTCATAGTCCGATTTGATCGAAGAAAAGGGAGGAACGTCGCCCGAGTCTCGCGCTCGACTCAACCAACACGGACTTGATGTCTGTCAATAACCGGTTGATCCAATAAGTTGAGTTGTTGGGGGACATTCAATTATGGATCATATACCAATTGCTAACGCACCCCCTCAAATGAAAACCTATACATATAGGCTTGAGGACAGGTCCAAATACCATGTGATTAACAAATGTGAGTCATTGGGATTCGAACATTATATTTTTCGGCACACTAGTCTCTGATACTCTGTCAAGAACTCGTTGATCTCAATAACTCGAATTTAGGGAGTCCAGCTTACCCAACCCGTATTTTTGAAATCACAAGGTGATTAAGTGCCTTCGTCCAACTCCGGTCACTCAAATTACTGAAATGTGTCACATTTAGTCACTCGAATTACTGAAACAGGTCACATTTAGTCACTCTCCTGTTAGTTTCCGTCCAACTCCATTAATAAAGTTGGACGGAAACTAACGGGAGAGTGACTAAATATGACTTATTTGAGTAATTCGAGTGACCAAAATTGATATTAAATTTTAGTGACTAAACATGACACGATTTAGTAATCTCAGTGACCAAATGTGGTATTTACCATTTATAATATATTCGTACGTGAAAATTTAAGTTTTCTTATGGGTTCTCTTAGAAGACTTAAGGGCTCGTTTGGAGAATTAGAGTCTAAATCTCTAGATTCTAAACAATCCAAAGATTTGAACTCTCCGAATTGTTGAAAAAAATATTAGAAAATGTTCATTGTTTGATAACTGCGATTGTTAACATACAATAAAAAAGAAATTATATTTGTTTATAAAATGGCATATTTATCCTTAACCAAAATAATTAAATGGCTCAAAAAATATTGACAAAATCTATCAATAAGGATATTTAGTGGGATAAATTAAATAAAGGAAGAGAAAGAGTAAGAGAGAGAAAATCTCTAAAATCAAGATGTAAAAATCTCTCTAATTAGAAGATATTTTAGAGATTTAAAATCTCTAAATCTACAATCCACGATACAAAAAGTAGTAAAAAACATAATATTTTGTTAAATTTATGAATTCAATAAATCCATCGTCCAAATCTTGTTCTCCAAACCCCTCAGAAACTTCATATAGATATGTAAAAAAAAAAACTGAGCCAAGTCCTAGAGCTAAAAATTTGAGTTTAGCTCCTTACCAATTTAAACAAAACATAATTCGCGCATCATGTTGGGCTTGACGGGCTGGAGATAAAGCTTCAAAAGCTTAAAAAGGCCAAGTTCGGCCCATTAAATATCAGCATCCCCCGGTCCATTGCTGAAGCCCGGTGGACTAGAATATCCAATCCTAGTAGGGTACGGACTCCTTCTCGTAGAAAGTACTAGAACCATAAAATTTCCGAATCTGAACCGGAAGCTGAATCGCCATTAATTCTTCTCTATAAATACGGTACCTCCAATCGCCCACCATTCCCTCAACGAAACCCACTACTCCAAAACCCTAACAAAATCCACAGCAGCAGCAGCAGCCATGGCGATCCTCTCCGACATCGAAGAAACCCAGTCCAACCAAACCCAGAATTCTCCCCCTCCAACCAATCCCCAGCCGGCAGCGGCGGAGAAGGAGAAGAAGGAGGACAACACCACTTCTCTGCTTCCAAATTCCGGCAATGGGCTCGACCTGGAGAACTATTCGTGGGGACAGAGCCTCGAGGAGGTGACGATCACCGTTCCGGTCCCTGCCGGAACCAAATCTAGGCAGATTGTGTGCGAGATCAAGAAGAAGTCTCTGAAGCTAGGGCTCAAGGGCGAGCCGGCGATGATCATCGACGGCGAGCTGTTCGGACCGGTGAAAGTGAGCGATTCTTTCTGGCAATTGGAGGATCAGAAGACCGTCTCTGTTCTGCTGACGAAATTCGAGGAGAAGAACAAGAGCTGGTGGAAGTCGCTGGTGAAGGGAGGGCCGGAGATTGATACCCAGAAGGTGCAGCCGGAGAACAGCAAGCTGAGCGATTTGGATCCGGAGCTGAGGTCGACGGTGGAGAAGATGATGTTCGACCAGAGGCAGAAGCAGATGGGTTTACCCACCAGCGACCAGATTCAGCAGCAGGACCTCTTGAAGAACTTTGATTTCTCCAAGATGAAGCAGGTCGACAAGTTCAGCAATATGCCTTGAGATAGATAGATAGCCATTGTTATTTGTTGGGCAGTTACTACCTTAGTTTCTTTTTGCTTCTTCCCCTTTTGATGTTTTCAACTATTCTGTGTTTTTGTCTTTAGCTTTCAGTTGAATTTAACAAAAAAGATGCAAACCTTATTAGATTATGACAAGTTCAATCGCAGTATGATCAAAGCAAGATAATCGATCACAAGCAACTAGGATCTTCATCACATATTCACATATCAGATGACACAAAAGATTGATAAATTATATAAAGAAATCAGATTATAACAATTTGTTCAATTGGCCACATTTACAAGGGAGAAAGGGAAGTTCTTGGTAGGCGTAGCTTACCAAATACCAAACACAAGAGCCCAATTTATCTCAAAGATCAAACATGCTAAGCCCTTTCCATTCTTTTTAACCTTTTTACCTCTTAACTGTTTCTTTTCAGAAACTATTTAGTATATACAAAAGTCGTCTAGAGAAATGGGGAATGTAAAGAGTTTTAAAAAAACATGTACAATTCTGAAGCATATCTCCCAACTTTTAAGAGTTTTGTTCTTCATTCAATCATACAAACCTTCTTGCTCCCACACATCCACTAGAAAATCTACCATTTCCTGAAACCGAAAAAAAAAACAGGAGGTTCTGATTCTCATTTCGCTGGAGAGATGCAGGAAACAAGCTCAGGGGGGGGGGGGGGGGGGGGGTTCAAGGACTTACAGCGAGTGGGACAGGCCGGGGAAAAGGGTTCCTGCTTCCAAGCAAGCTTTCATAAGTTGCATTCCAACTGGATGTTAAATCAAAGCATTAAGAACAGACAATGGAATGTGACTTTGTGACAGTGGGGTTTCTCTTTATTTGCTGTAAATACCAAAGGGTACTTGCTAGCTACAAATGGAAGGAAACACATCATCTTCTGTCACACAAATCAAACCGAAAGCATCAACTCGTTGGTACAATGATTTGAATGAAGATGTTAGAAGATGGTTGGAGGGTGAAGGAAAAATAATGCATCAGGTTGTCCCTATTTTGCAGAAGCATCTAAATCCTATGCAGTGCAATGATTACACAGCACATCACAGAGATGAAGATGTTGATGAGCTATTCGGTGTAATTTGAATAACCATCGGTCCACCACCAACAAGCCGAGAATGGCAGCAAGCATTTTTACCAACCAATGAAGTTCTACTATAGTATGTGACTGAGTGCTTGCTAAGGAAAAATAAGTAACTGTCTACAGAGAGGTTTCTCAGTTACCTCAATCGGGGTCCGCATGTTTGACGAGTTTGATTGCTGGTAGATTCACCACTCCTAGTCCATTGAAGCCTGCCCTGCTGCCACAGAAGCAGACCTGCACTCATGCATTCAACAAGCTGTAAGAGGTCTGTAATAAAAGAATTTTGACGAACACAGTAGAGTAATGGAAGTAAACTTGGAAGAGCAAAGTAAAAAAGGATTGCAGTTTATTACCATGATTCACAAAGTCTGTCGTACTACCACTCATGGTACCACCACTGCTAGTGTTGGGGTTTGAAGCACTGATTGAGGATACGCTTCTTTGAGACTGAATAGCACTATTATCCAGCTCACAAGTGCTGCTGCTCCAAAAATCTTCAAATACACTAGGCTTCTTCACTGCCCGGCCTTGTATCTTCAATCCTTTCGATGGCTCATCCACAGCAATTATCGGTGTGGGCTTCTCGCAGCATCCAAAACAACCACTGTTCTGTCCCAAACCAAGTTAGAAACCAAAACCACAAACAAAAACACTGTTGGCAACAACTATACCACTTATAGAGGATTGAAATGTATAGAATACAGAAAATTTCACATTCATTGAACTGGTTTCCTTTTGCTGCCAGACAAGCTTAGTGGAGTAGCAAATAGTCAAATACCATATAATTAGGAAAAGGAAATGAACAGATTGATGTTTGTCCAACTTCCATCTCTTAGACAATAAAAGATTTGAAGACACAATCAAAATTCCTAAACCAGATTAGCCTGAAATAAACGAACAGGAAAAGCATTCAATCTTCCCATCCAAAAATCAAGCAATCTCATTGACATACATACACTGTAATGGAAAGTTTATCTCCCCCAGACATGACTTGATGGCATAACACTATGGAGCCAACAATTCTCTACCTGTTCTCTTATGTACTGGTTGTGTTAGGAATTCCATCTCTATCAGGTGATGAAAATTTCCAGTCCTTGGAGACCATTATTATATATGCCTCACAACCACTACTGCTTTAACTAATCCACCTATAAAAGCTATAAACACTTCAAGGAAACACTTCAAGGACCAAGCAAATGACAAGATCATTAAACAATTAGCAATATACAATCTTCATTAATTAGGGGAGAATGAAAAACAAAATTGAGAAAAAAAAATTCTCTCTACCAAATTGAAATCAGCAAATTTAGCCCTTTCTCCCCAACAATTGTCTCCCTTAATCCAACTTCCCCAAACAAGAAAAACAACAATTCTATTCTATCCCAACTCGTGCTCCCAACACACAAACAGGGACCCAAATAAATTTCTAACCGGGATTCCAGATATCCAAGACCAAACCCAGAAAACTATGTAGACATACACAAGCAAAAGAAACTCAGAAACAAGAACACATCAAAGAAAGGTGAACGAAATCACTTACCCCATACAAGCGAGAAAGTGATCGATCCAAGAACAAACAGAGGCGTTACTAAGTGTCACCATTTGATCAAGCAATCAACAACACGGAACAACCCAATCATCGAATTGGAACCGAGTGCAAATTTGGGGGAGGAAAAATCTCTGAAAAGGAATCAACTTTATGCTGAAATTGGAAATGGGTAGCGTTGATTTGCTGTTCTGTTCTCCACCATGACAACCTGCTAGTGGGTTCTTTGTGTCTGCGACTTGTGGGGATGCGCTGAGAGAGTGTGTGGGAATGGAATGTTGGTGGTGGCTGCTGGGTAGAGAAGAAGGCAGTGGGTTTTTGGGCGAGTGATTAAAGTGACAGAAAAATAGTGAGGAAGAAGAAGAAGAAGAGAGAAAGGAGAGGAATGGAGCAAGTTAAGTAATTGATTAATGAGGTGTCTGTAATGTGGGGATGCGCTTCATGGTATTGGATTATTTGCCTTTGTCAACCTATCCTACGCTCTTCACGCGCTCCTATTCCCGCGTGCATTTGCGTTGCTAATGTTTAGGCAATGGTTGGGTTGAATGGTTTTAGGTCAAAATTTCACTATGATCTATAGAAAGATCATACTTGTAGATGGGTACCGCTAATTAGTGGACGTTAGTAGATGATGATTTGTTTAAGCGGTCATGATGGTTCGTGCAGGAAGACCTCGTAGTTTCGGACGATTTGAAAGATTCAATGTATCTTATGAAATTTGGAGATGAATGAGCTTGATGTTTGTCCATCTCAAGTAGGAATGTTAGTAGGTAGGATCATGGCAAGTCTAAGGATAAGGTACATGTAAACTTATCCAATCGGATACAACACTCTCAACATTATCTGATGTTAGCTTCTCCTTGTTTAATTGTAATCAATATGCCAAATAAAGTCCACGTATAACAGTGAGTACACATAGTTACCATAGGTGTGTTCTGATTAGGTCCTAGTAGATATAGAAGTTCTCCGTAATGATTGGGTGGGGTGTACACATAATACATGCTAATACGGGTAAATTTTTATACATGTATCAAACAATGATCAAATTAAAATTTAGAGTAATCAGGAATTGGAAACAAGACAAATCGCACCAATTTATCGTGATTGACAGTGATCTACATAACAGAGGTAATAATAACCCACCATCTTTGCCACTTTCACTTTCTGGACTCTACATCGCTCCACCTCTCCCAACAAAAAAGATCCATCCATGACCATAAGAGCTGTGACAAATCAAGTTGCTTAACGTGGATGATGATATTTCTTTACAATGAAAAAGGGAAGACATGTTCCTATAATATAGTTTCAGGTACCTAGTTTAACTTTTTGTTTCTGTCCAAAAGAGAATGGGTAAATGACACATTTGGTCACTGAGATTATTAAATTGTGTCATGTTTAGTCACTAGAAAAAATTAATATCAATTTTGGTCACTTGAATTACCGAAACTGGTCAAATTTAGTCACTATCCCGTCAGTTTCCGTCCAACTCCATTAATGTAGTTGGACGGAAACTTTTGGGAGAGTGACTAAATGTCACATGTTTTAGTAATCCGAGTGACTAAATGTGACATTTTTCAATAATTCGAGTGACCGGAGTTGGACAGAGGCTACAGAAGAGTGACCAAATGTGATCTGTTTCAGTAATTCGAGTGACCAAAATTGATATTAAATTTTTCTAGTGACTAAATATGACACGATTTAGTAATCTCAGTGACCAAATATGTCATTTACCCAAAAGAGAATATGCATACTTTGTTTCAACGTAATCCAAAAAGAATTGTACAACTCAACCAAAGTGATAAAGGGAGAGGAAAAGAATGAAGGCCATGGCCACGAGAACAAGGCAAAAGGAAACTAAAGCAAAGACATTAAATAGTTGTGAGAAAACAATATCAAAGGTGGTGTAGTGATTATCATAATCTCCTTTAGAGGAACATTTTTTTATCTCTATCTTTTAATTTATTCTTTCATGAAGATGATGATTCTGATGGTATAATGATCATATTGGTTGGTTTTTATAACATGGAGAGATGATTAACATAAAGTTTTACATTATTCGTTTACATTCTCCCAAATTTAGTTATAATTTAACCGGGTGTCAAAAATCGGTTGGTCTTACTAATTTTTTTCCCTATGCTACTGAAGGGCATTCGCGGGGGAAGTTCACCAAGATTCCAATCTAGGATCTCGAGATTGAAAACTAGTTGTTAGATCAAACCCTCTTTCACTTCATCTTAACTATTTAGTTGTTGAAATATGTAAAATGGTCCAATGAACTAAAAAACTGCTCAGACACATCATATACATTGTGCATCAATTCAACATTAATATTGAGAGCTACTAACTAAGATAACCAACTTACGACCTCTCAAACAAAGACTTTGATATACCAAGTCGAGAACCTGCTAATCTTTATAAGATAACTTGAGTTTGTTTGAAGTTCAAACAAATCTGAATCTCATATTCATTTCATGAACAAGCTAGCCATTTTGGAACCTCAATCATGAATGACAATAAATGTTGGCTGTGAATTGAAATGAGGGACCCTCCTTACCTTATCTCCTTTGCTGTTTTCAATCCTAATTCAACCAATTTCTCAACAATAATGCTTTTTGGAAGTTGGAGAATCATTGAACTTTCGCATTCCACACAGTTACAACTAACTAATAGACCACCCTAATTTAGGGTTTCAAATTTCAATTAGCCATGGGGTGGCAAATTCTTAAAGGATCCAACCAAACACCTTTCCATTGATTTCACTTGTGGGCCAATGAAGCCCGGCAATCAAAAACCGAAGTTAGGAGGAGTCGATTCTAAGGATTGTCCAAAATAGGAAGGGCCCATATCAACAAAACCTGCATCAGTCAAATGTCGGTAAGATCATGATCAACTAGGAAGGATTCAGTAGACACGATTCAAACTAATGATAAACGGATCGATTATGCAGGAGGATGACTGCAGAAGTATGGCTACATGTCTAACATCATCCTATTCTCTTGACACAGAAAACCTCAATGTTTCAGTAGGGAGGTGAAGAATTCAAGGAGGCGTTTTCAGTATTGATCACCAGTATGCAATAAGCTTGATCAGAAACGATTGTTAGTCGGTTATCTTACTTCGGTTGCCTGAAGAGAAGAGATGCAAGGCTCCCACTCCATCCAAATGCAACGGATGTCATCGGCTCACGTCTTTTAGGGGTGAGAGAAGGCAGACTGTGATTAGAGGTGGTGATCACTTTGGTGGTAGTAGACTCCGTAGACCTGACATGAAGATGGTGAAAGATGGTGTTAACAAGTGTGATTAACATCAAGTGTCGTTGTGCCGAACACTATTAGCACAGATATTGCACAGAAAGACAGGGAAACGAAAGCATGGTTATTCAGTTCACATCGGCTTAAGTAACATCAAAACCCCCTATATTGAAAACTCTGATCCAGTCAAAGTCACTTGATAGTGTGGTATCTGTCGAGCAAAGTTCTGGTAAAACAGAAACCGGACTTCAAGAGAAACTGCCTGCAACTTGCATTGCTTGGTTCCCCATTAAACTAAACAAACTTCAAGATTTTAAGTGCCTTAAGGGAAGTATGCGCGAAGTTTGAAAATTGAAACCTTCTATCTCATCATGTCAGCGCCATGACACCTATCCTCCACTACTGTTTATCCAAATGCTCAATGGCCTTAATGCTAAGCTATCAACCCTCGTTGTTCAGAACAAAAGACATGGCGCACAAACAAACGACGGTTCTGGACCGAATCAGCTCCTTATCTGCAACATAACTGCTTCTATATGTACATAGCATCTAATCTCCTACTCCTATGCATGAAAAGCGTTATACAATCAGTTCGACTACATCCAGCGTCAATAGTATTGTATCCACTGAAATGAAACTGACTTCTCATAATTTCTAACAGGGAAAATTCAACCGTTAATAAGTGTGAGGGAAAGGAGATTTACGCACAAGGGTCCTTCATGGGCAAACGTGGCCAGGCCTTGTCGCTGCTTGTGCTTAGGATTGGAGCTGCAAAGCACATAGACTCGCCCACGCCGCTTAATTACTTGGCAGAACTCGCACATCTTCTTCACAGATGATCTAACCTTCATGGCTACTGAAAAAAAAAAATAAACAGCAAATAAATTCCAATTTCCCCAATTAGAAACGGACCCTAAACTTGCAACGATTCAATTTAGCGAACCCATAACTCAAAATGTTGCAAAGTCCGGATCTTGCAATATGAACCGAGTTCAAACGAGCTACAAAAGGGCGAGATTTGCACAGAGAATCGAGAGCGATAACGAACCGGCTTTCGAATGATACGCCGGACGGCGATGAGAGATGATCTTGAAAGGTGAACAGCTTCCGCCGGCGAAGGACTGGGATAGGGAGACGAGGTCGATCAGAAGCTCAGCCGACGAGGAAGCTGGTAGGTTTTCCAGTGCTTGCCAGACCTGAAACTCGCACGAGCTAGAAGCCTAGAACGATGACCAAAAGCTAGCCCAATATCATCTTCCACATAACTGGACTACGAAATGGATTCGTGAGGCCCAATGTCAACAAAGCCCAGCGTAATGGACTTGGGAATCGACTCGGGAGAAAATCTCGGAACCGGGCTCTATCTTGTCTTATCTTCTCTAACCTTTTTTTATTTTTTATTTTTCATTTTTTCACCATTCGGTCAGATCACAAAAATCGTCTACTGCCAGTTAAGATGATAGGAGGCTACCAAGCTCCTGGTTCAGATGGCTTTACCGGTCTCTTCTTCCCATCGTTTTGGACTTTAGTAGAGGACTCTGTGGTAGCTGCAGTTCAAGAATTTTTTGTTACAAGTCACTTGCTGTCAAATTTTAACCATACATGGTACACTTTATTGCCTAAAGTTCCAAATGCAGAGACGATGAGACAAATGCGCCCCATTGGGTTGTGCCAAGTCCCCTACAAGGTGATCTTCAAGATTTTAACTTCTCGACTTAGTGTTGTCCTCCCTCATGTGGTAAGTCCCTTTCAAAATGGCTTCGTAAAGGGTAGGTTGATCTCTGACAATATTCTTATAGGGCAGGAGGTGTTGCATTTCCTCAAAACTAAAACCTCTGGTAATGAAAAATGGATGGCATTAAAGTTATACATGGAGAAAGCATATGATAGGGTTGAATGGGAATTTTTGTTTTCTCTTTTACAACGCTTGGGCTTCTGTGATCAGTGGTTACAATGGATTCACCAATGTGTTACCACTGTTTCTTTCTCAGTCTTATTGAATGGCAGCCCTCATGTTTTCTTCCACCCAGAGCGTGGTATTCGCCAAGGAGATCCCTTATCACCTCTTTTATTTGCTCTCTATACAGAAGGTTTTTCCCACTCATTGATCAGGCCATCCATGCTCAATTCCTCCATGGGATTAAAGTTCACTGGCGTTGTCTGGTGCTCTCGCATCTTTTTTTTGCTGACGGTACTTATTTATTTATTTATCAAAGCGTCCATCACGGAATGCCATAACCTTCTCTCTTTGTTTGCCTCTTACCAACATGTCAGTGGACAAAAAGTCAATCTTCATAAGTCCTCAGTCACTTTCAGCAGGAACATTACTTCTGAGGAAGCAGCAGAAATCACTTCCCTACTGGGAGTTGCGGAAAGTACGTTAGAGGACCGCTAACTAGGACTTCCTACACATGTTGCACGGTCAAAACAATCCACCTTTCAGTTCATTGAAGATAAGTTGTTTGCTCGACTACAACAGTGGAAATCCAAGGCTTTGTCCCTTGCTGCTAAGGAGATACTCTTGAAGTCTGACAAGGTTTTGGTGGGCACAACAAGATCGAAATGAAGGTATGAAATGGACATCATGGCGAGCTCTCTGTCGGCACAAAAACCATGGTGGTCTAGGCTTTCGAGACTTCGACAGCAATAATAAAGCCCTTCTTGCCAAACAAGCTTGGCGTATCCTCCAATCCCCGGATTGTGCTTTAGCTGTGATGTATAAAGCTAAATATTTTTCTCAGGTTTCGTTCTTGCAGGCTGTTCCCAGAGCCCGAACTTCTTGGGCGTGGCAAGGGGTGCTGATAGGAAGGGACCTTTTGAGGCAAGGTCTCCGCTGGCTCGTTGGATCTGGGACTTCCATTCACATCACTAAGGATCCCTGGTTGCCCACCACTCCTCCCTCTAGTCCCAAACTGCTACCACATGTTGGTTTACCATCAACACAGGTTTCTTCACTCATTGATTACTCGGTTGGAAAATGGAAGGTAGAGATGTTGCAGTCTCTTTTTGATGCTACCACGGTCAAGGTAATCCTCTCCATCCCTCTTCCTCAACTTCCTATGGCTGACAACTTATATGGCACTATGAAAACTCGGGTGAATACTCGATCAAATCTGGTTACCATGTTGCAGCTTCTGATTTCGTGAGTAATCCTTCTACAATTCCGGTCATTTTTTATTCCCAGCTTGGAAAGCTCTCTGGTCTCTCTCGGTTCCTCCTAAATTGCGTTTTTTTCGTTGGTGATTAGTCAAAGGTTTCTTACCTGTTCGGGACGTTCTGCGGGATAAGGAAATCATTGATGAAGAAGAAGATGATGAAGGCTTGTTGTGTCCCGTTTGTTCCAACCCTAAGGAAACTCTATCCCTTTGTTTTTTGGAATGTAGGATATCGGCTGGCTTATAGGATTTGACAGGTTTTGGGCATATATTTCCTTACATTAACTCACTTCATGTTGCAGTTGGTTGGAGATATCTACTGTTGGATGCAGGGTTAACTCGCACAGATTTTACAAAGTTGGTGTTCCTCTATATGCGCATCTGGAAAGGGAGATGCTCATCAACGTATGAACTTACACTATTCCTTCCCGCTTCCTTTCTAAGACAATTCAACTCTCAAGCTACGGAATGGTTTACAGTTCAAGAATCTGGCACTTCAAGGAAACACCAGCATCCGCCCAATCCATCTCTTCATCGCAATCCATCACCACCCTCCATCCCGGATGGATTCATGCTTGTCCATTTTGATGGACCTACAAAAGAATCAGTGGGGGGTGCCATTGGATTTGTTGGATACTCGTCCCATAGTACTATTTCTTTTGCTCTTGGACGATTCTATGCGGAAGTTTCCAACCCTTTTCTTCTTGAGTTAATGGCGCTTCGGGATGCCATGTGTTGGTGTCTCTCTCACTTTGCTCGGTAACTAATGTGTTGTTTTGTGGTGATGCGCAGGTCGTTATCCGGATGGTGTCCGCGAATGACTCGGCTCACGCTTTGGGGGGTGCCATATGAAGGAGGTTCAGGTGTTACGAACATCTCTCGCGCGTGTTTCGTTTCATTTCACCCCGTGTAGGTACAATAGGGCTGCCCATACCGTGGCAAAACAGGTCATGTCATCGATGACTCAACATCTTGTTCATCATCGTTTTGCTCTTCTTTCTTTCTCCTGACCGTTTGGTCTTGTATATTCTCGTATCTTGCTATTCCTTCCGGAATATCTTTGGCAAAAAAAAAAAAAAAAAAAAAGATACGGTCATAAAGTATATACAAGAAAAGTATGTTATCCTACTTTAAAGTATGTTATCCTACTATAAAGTATAACGATCGGGGTTTTAGATTGTGGTCATTAATATTTTGGTATATTATCCTACTTTAATATTAATTCACTATCGATGTTTTATTGGTATGCTATCGGCAGGGCTGGCTATTTGGTCTGGGTTTTTTAGTTTTTCCCGAAACCGAAACGTATATCCCGGATCGAGACCGGACCGGGACCGGTTAGTAAACAATTCAATCCAATCTTTGGGCTTAGATTTGAGGTAAAAAATCGTTCGGGACCGGATCGAAAACTGGATAAAGACCGGATAAGAGAGCTCAACACCCAAAACTTAAGGGTAATTTGCATAAACGGTCACAAACCTTTGCACTTAGTACAAAACTTAACGAACTCCTCACCCTTTTAGGCCTTAGGCCACTCAAATCCCCACAAGCTCAATATAAAATCAAGACCGAATTGGGACCGGACCAGGTCAAGACCGGACTGTATCCAATCCAATCTTTGGTCCTTATATTTTCAAAAAGGCCGAACTGTATTGGAACAATTTGCGCTTATTTAACCGGACCGTGTAGCCACCCCTAGCTATTGGTTAGACCATGATTATACCATCAAATAATAATCCATCTAACTAGTTTGATACAATCTTGAATACAGGTTTACAAAATCATAATTCTTACTTAAAGAATTCAAATTGCATTTTTTCTTAGGCCAAATACACTTGTGTAGCCAAAACTTTGACGGTTTTGCCAAATATAGCCATGTTTGGTGAAATACCAAAAATATTCACTTTCGTCCAATTGTTTGACGGTGTTAGTTAACATGCTGACTGGTCTAACGAATTGTCCGATCAAGCAACTTTTGTCCTGTATGTATTTGCCACGTGGATTTAATTAATAAATATTAAATAAAAACAATAATTAAAATTTGAAATTTTCAAATGGCTGGGTTTTCTGATATATGAAAATTAAATATAAATAAATAAATAAAACTAAAAGACTTCTCTCCTCCCAACCTACCCTCTGTTCTGATCGACAGCGAACCGAAAACAATGAGGAAGAAGGCACCGGTGGAGGAAGGGGAAGAAGAAGAAGAAAGGGTGCCTTCCCTCTTAGATCTCTAGAGAAGCCCAAGAATTGAAATCCCAATTCCTCACATGCTCGTCCTACTTCTTCCCGTGTTCACGACTATGCCCTCCTCCGCCGATGAGCCCGTCACTCTAATACGGAGGCCAGCGCTCAAGCAGACAACGATGGCAACGACCAATTGGGTCGAGCAAAGAAGCCCAAGCTACCCGATTCCAATTCTTTGGATTCTGGCCCAGCCAACTCCGGTGACGATTCCTCCCCAGCCGCTAATCACAAGAAGATGAAATTAATTCCATACCTTTCAAATCTGGAATCCGCTCTGCCAAAAGGTCTTCTACTCTCCTTGCCCACTCTGCCTTTCCCCCCAACTCATTCGCTCTTTTTAGAATTCCTTAGTTCGACTCTCCCTCACTGTCATGCCCGACGGTGCCGCATCCGTCATGCCTGACGCCTGACGGTCAGAGGCTATGGAGATGAGCGGTGGGGGTTCTCTTGGATGATTGAGCTGATGTTTCGGCTGCTGGATTGACGGATCTCTGAGGCAGTTCCGAGGAAACTTTGATTGCCGGAGATTCCTCGTCGTTGAAGCTGCTAGTTATGGTTTGAGAGAAGGAGAATGAATTAATTTGGATTAGTGATTGAGGGGAGAAGGAGAAAGAGAAGCGGCGGTTGGGGTAGAGGGAGAAGGAGAAGTTCGAAGAATTGAGAAGAAATGGGTGATCTGCAGGGGAAGCAGTTAAAAAAGAGGGAAGTGTGATAAAAAAAATTATTTATTATTTTATTTATTGTTACATATATTTATTTTGTTTTTAGTTTTCACAAATAAAAAAATTGTAGTTCAGATAATAAAAAAAAGACTATTTGAATTTTTTTCATTTATCCACCTGGAATTGTTAAGAGATAAATCAAAATGACGTGGCAATGATATTGATGACTTGTCGCTGACGTGTGTGATGATTTGGCATTCTAGTCAGCCTAACGTTAACTTGATGGAGTTTCTAACACCGTTTAAAGTTTGTAACAGAAATGGCTATTATCGTTATCAAACTTTCAAAATTCTGGCTATTATTTGTATTTCCCAAAAATGGCTATTGTTGTCACAAACGTCAAAGTTTTGGCTACACAAGTGCATTTGGCCTTTTTCTTATTACAATCTAACTTGTGCATCGAAAAGTCAATACAAAGCCCCTACCGACTCTATTAGCGGTGCTATAATGGATGAGGAGCAGATTGACGACACGATGCTACTTGTTTGTGCAAATTGATGTTGGAAACTATGATGAAAATTAAATCTCATACCCCCCATAAGGATGAAGATTAGTCGAATCGAAATGTTAAAACATTAGATTCACTTCAAATTTGAACTTTACCCTCTCATTAAAGTTTTTTTTTTAACTCACTCGTTTAATATTTAATCCTATGGTGAACTATGATGAGATCGAATGATTGAATATGAGTTTTGGTAGGTAGGGAGTTTACTTTTTTTCCATGGATGATTTACTTTTGTATTACAGACTAAATATACTACTTTAGTACTTTTCTTCGTAGTTAATTTTGTCTATAATTAGGCAATTGTGTGACGACTGCTAGACTTATGATTGATTAGATTAAACCTGCTGGCGAATTAGAAACCAAAGCGTAAGACTTTGCCAACCTTAATCAAAGGCGGTTAATACTAAACTATATGATTAATTATGTAAAGAAGTGGTAGCTACACATAGTTGACACTTGTTACCAAAGGATCCGATTCACACCTAAGCAAACCCTAATTCCGTACCCCACAAATCAAGTACAAGTTGTAGTAGTAGTAGGTATTGAAAAAATTAACACCAACTTGCTTATTTGATGAAATTTCTAATTAGTTTCAACATTAATATTGATCATTCAATTCATCACAAGTATAACCTAATTAAGATTTACAGTCCTCTATGTGGTTCCTCAATCGTTGTACTCGACCGACGGATTTGAGATGTGATATGTACATCTTAATATTATTCTTTTGTGATACGTAGAATAAGTTCAACTGACGCAACATTTGTTAAACTATGAGGTGAGAGACGATAAACTTGATTAGAAAATAAATCGAGTGAGAAATTATAACTATTATGCATCCATATGAACTATTAAGGGTATGAGTTAAATCTCAATTTTCCATACATTAATCATCAAGACATTTTCATGCATTATTATTAAGAATCAACACCAGGGGCGGAGCTAGGTGGAGCCTCGGAGGGGCCCCGGCCCCCCCGAGAATTTTGAAACTACGTATAAAATCTCTTCGGATTGTGAAAAATTACGTATAAAATAGATGTTAGAATATTAACTGTGAGCGCAATAATCTGACAAGAAACTAAGGGGCGGACGAGTGGTAGAAGAGTTGATCTTCCAAATTGAGTGCATGGGTTCGAATCTTGCCTATTGCTAATTAGTGCCCATTTTTGTCATTTTCAAGTTGTGAGCATTCTCATCTAAACTACAGCAAATTAAGTGTTATTTTGCTATTTCCATATTGAAATAAGCCAATAAATTGTTTGAAAATGATAAAAATGAGCTACATATTGAAATACATGATTAATTTTTTTCGTAATTTAATAATTTGTTTTGACATATCACATAGTAAATAATTATCGCAATTCTTGTTTTGTTATGATAATAAAAATTCTATAAACTTTTTTTGTCATGGTAAATTAAACAATTTCGGCCTCCCCGAGATTCAAATCCTAGCTCCGCCCCTGATCAACACCTCACGATAACATACTCCATAAACAAGAACCCAAAACGAAAATTTGCAAGAGATATGGGGAACATGTTTTAGGTTGAAATCTACAGAAAAGAAACCCCAAAACGTCATTTTATCAAATCTAGAGCAACTTGACTTAGTAATTAGTACTTTAACCCCAATAATTAAACCCCAATTAACGTCACTCATCCTTATCTTCTTCACGACACTTAGAAAAAGTGTTCATCAATTACAAGACAAAATTACACACATAAGCCACAGCTTTGTCACCGAGCATATGAAGGTTAATTAAATAATGTCAACACGAAATACGATCTCTCCCGATATTAACAAACCTATGGAAGCACAAAATATGATAATCATTTGGGTTAAACTAATGAATCAATGGGTGTCGTCATATGATTGCTCTATGTATGTGGAAATGAAGTGCTCTTTTTCATCCAATAATACTATATTTAAGCAATGGAGCCAACAAAGAAGATGAGGTAATTATATGTGGCTAGGTGTGGGGAGCAAGACATTTCATTGGAGGTGACTTTGGCTTATTATATGGTTTGTTTTGTTGAACTTTCTTTGGTTGGGAGTTAGTGAAAGTAAAAGGGTTTTTGCTCTTTTATTGAAACCCTAGATGGAGAAGGGTCATCCTTGGCCAAGTCGGAAAGTCATAGAAAGAACTTTAGAGGACTTGTAGTCCTTCGGGTTTATTGGGTTAATAAACTTGCTCCCCTAGTTACAAACATTTTAGCTAATAAGCCCTAACAATATGATTTATAATACATTTTATGTTTGTGTGTAATAAGAAAACTCGACATGAAATAAAACAAATTCAAAGAGAACTCAATTCGAACAAATCACATGTTGTGCACACGAAATATGGTCATGGGAGTAAAACCTTCAAACCTTTCAACTCGATCATTCAAATTTTTGCAAATCAGAAGCTCAACAAGTAAATCAAGATCACGAGACAATATTGATTGAGAAGGTGTATATTTTTTATCGATAATCTGGAAAACATAGGGTGTTATGGATGCAGTAATACTATATATTTTTTTTATTATCTCTTTGTCCTTGTCTCTGGTGACTTTCGTTTTTATGGAATGAGATTAAGTCAACATGCCCAAATTTACACCTGATTAGGAACTACATAAACTATGTTGGAGGGAGTAATTTGAAAACAAATACAATGTTTTTTTGTATGTTCGATTGAAATCGTTGATATATGAATGTGTTTGTTAAACTAGCATAATACAAGGACTACAAATTGTTAACACCTAAAATTAATTTGGCCGGAATTAAATGCCGCATTAATTAGTCTCGGCATTTAAGTCGATACCGCAAGTAAAAACGGTGTCGTTGGGAGTCGAGCGGTGTCGCGGGAAACAAAAACGGTACCGCGAGTAAGCCCAGCGGTACCGCAACACTGGAAACGACACCGCTTGCCGAAAATAAAAAAAAGAGGGTCGTGTGTTTAATGGGGTTGAAGGAGGAGTCTTTAATTGTTTAATTATTATTTTTTATTCCTTGTGAGAAGCGGCACCGCGGGGAGTTAAAACGGTACCGCGAAACAGAAATTCGGTGCCGCGAGGAAGCTCGGCGGTACCGCGGAACTGGAGAGGGGCCGCGCAGTGTAGGTGTTGGGGAAGGAGTTTTGTTTATAATTAATTAATGTTTTTATTCCTTGTTGGAAGGGGAAAATCGGTACCGCATGGAGACAAGCGGTATCGCGGAGAGTTAAAACGGTACCGCGAGTAGGCCCAACGGTACCGTGGATTAGCAAACGACAGTGTTTAATAATAAACAGTGTCGCGGAAGAAAAAACAAACGGAGCTGGTTGGGAAAGAAAACGACACCGCAAGGCTGGAAGCGGAGTCGTTTAATGTTAAAACGATGTCGCGGGTAGAATCAAGTGGTGCTGCTCAGTTAAAAACAACACTGTTTAAGGCATCAACAACGCCGCAGTATCACTAAGCGGTGTCGTTTAGTTAAAAACCATACCACAATGGTTTGGATTTTGGCGAGGCCTGGCAAGCACAACGGTGCCGTTTGGTTGAAAAAGAAACAATGTCGCGGAATGGAAAACGACATTGTTTGTCAGCATCGATTAGTGAAAGGTGAGGCCGCGGTATTGGTGAAACGACATCGTTGCATGGACAAGGTTGTAGGATTTGGCTCAATGTCGTTTCGCAAAGTTTCTGCAAACAGGAGCGGTTTCGATGGCACGTGATTTTTACGCAAAGCAGAAAGAGGAGATCAAGGCAGTTGAGACACGTGGGATTTCACAACGGAGCAGTTGAGGAAGCGGTTCCACCGAGCGTGAAGGCTACGAAGCAGTTTTTCGAATAAAAGCAGTGGAGCAAGGAGAGAGAAGGGGACAACCAAATCAACACAGAACAACTCTGTCAAACTTACCTTTTCTCTGTAACTCCCTCGCGGAGCTCTCCTTCCAGGAAGGATCTCCATAGTTGTAGTCTTAGTCGTAGTCGCGGAGCTCTCCACAGGAATCTCCATAGGAGTAGCGGTAGCGTAGATTCCTCAAAAAACTCAAACACCCTCGTTCGAACGTAGTTTGAAGAGGTGCGAACCGTAGTAACGGTCGTTCTTGGTTAGAAGTCAGAGTTGCACCGATCAAATCAACGGCGCCGACATTCGGCGGCGGATATTTGACGGTCGTCTCGATTTCAGCTATCAGCGGTGCATTCGATCAACGGCACCGCAAGAGTTTCCATCGTGAAACATCGAATCAACATCGCCGGAAACGAATTCGGCACCGGCGGTGGCATTTGGTTTTCTCAGAAAACATTTTGGCACACCCGGTGGGACACGTGTGTTTGACACGGCTCCGCGTCGAGGAAATCAAGATCGTGATCTTCCACACATACCTGTGGAGGAGGAGGCGTCCGACATTGAAGTTGGTGAGGCGAACGAGACAGATAGACGTACTCAAGGGATGG